AAAGAGTTCTACTGAGTTGTGAAACAGCTCTCAGTGGGAAGGAGGACCTGAGTTGGGCAGCCCTTTTACTCAAAGTCAGATAGGCTCCCCCAGCCTGAGGGCAGGTAGTCCCAAAGTGTGAATGAGTCTGGGGCTTTTATGGACTCAGAATGGGGAAGTGTGTGCTGATTAGTTTGTGAGTGTGCAAAAAAGGCTAAAAAAAGACACCACTCAAAGATGGACACAACAGTGTCAAAAAACCATTAGGGAAGGGTAGGTGTATGTAAAGTAGGTGAAGGGTGGGGATCAATCAGAGAAAAGCACCCAACAGGAAGAGAGGTTCTCAATCTGGTCTGTGGATTTATTCGAGACTTGTACCTTGGTTTTCAGGCTTCAAACTGTCTTTGGTTTGAAGGTCAGGTTTCACCCGGGACCCACCCCTGTCTGCCTAGGGATTTGCCTGCCTCCTGCTGGTATCATCAGGCTAATAGTATTGTTCAACTATGGATTCGTTCATAATTTGAGTTTGCAGGGCAAAACAGCATAGATGATGTGAGTCCATGGGCAATTATTAGGACAACTGCACCTATACAACTTCAGGGTATTTGGATGAGGATGGGTATAATAACAAGCACCATTTGGCTGCTTACAGAAGAATACTCAATGAGTTATAGAACAGTTAAGGGGAACTATAATCTTGTAACAGGATCTACATGATTTTGAAGCAGTAGGCAGCAAACAACTATTAGGAAGCGGGTCAGAGGGCAAGCTGACCTCATGATTCATGCTGAATTTGCTGCGACCTTGGTTTATTTTTTTCTCTCCCTCCCTTCTTCCCTAATTAACTTTATGAAGTTTATAGGGATTATTTAAATTGAAGCTTATACAGCATTCTGAATTACAGAAAGGAATAAAGGCTTGGAGCTTCCTGGGGGCTGGTGGCAACACGAGTTATGGGAGAGCAAGGGAAGGAAATGTGTGGTAATAGAGATCATCTTCTTATGCAGATAAAAAGTCTTTCCGGTAATAAAAGTTGTCTCAAAGCAGCCCTCAGAAGAACAGGCGATTGTCTAGGTGTGGTGTCAGCCTCCAGTCTCTCCTATGATCCAAGTTAATCTTCCCTGGTTGACAAGATTCCCAAAGAGGGGATTCATGACAATTAAGTTCCTTTTGGAGGCACCAGCTTTAGGCGGATAAGGGGAGCTCAGAGACAGCCACTGTCTGTATCCACTGTTCCCCAAGTTCTCTCAGTTCAAGTAATCAGTATACCAAAGTGGCATATTTTGGGGTGGCATCTCATGAACTCATTCACATGTAAAGTACTTAGCATAGTCATTTGGCAGGATGTGGGCACTCAGAGGAGGTTAGGTATTAATATGATACAAAGTTATTCATTCAACATTGAATCTCTCCTACTTAATGGGTGGCAGGTTCTGTGCAGGAGTGAACGAAGATGAGTAAGACACTCTCTCTGGCCTCAAAGAGCTCTCAGTTTAGTGAGAGACAGGTGTGGAGACAAAGATAGCTACAATCCAGTACTATCACAAGGAGATGAATCAAATGCTATAAGAGCTAAGAAGGAAGCAGCCCCACCCACAGGGGAAAATCAGGATGTGCTTCCCAGAGGAAGTGATCTTTGAGCTAAGTCATGCGTAATGAATAGAAATTTGCCAGGCACAGACAAGGAAGATGACACTCCAGGCAGAAGGTACCACCTATGTGAATGCATGAAGGCCTAAGAGAACATGACAGGTTTGGAAAACTAGGAGAATTTGCTAAAGGTGCAGCTTAGGATCCATGAAGGAACAAAATGAAAAGGATGTCAGCAGGCAGATCAGAAAGGATCCTCAAGTCATGTTACTGAATTTGACCTTTAACAGAATGCCGTTCATGGCCAAAGTTATTCTCTCCATGTTTTTAAACACCTTGAAAAAACTTTTTCAAAATATTTATCAAGTTACTATTTGATTATTTGTTTACTTGTCTCTTCATTTGAACTATGGGCCCCTTGAGAGCTCAAACCTTGGGTGGTGGTCTTTGAATTCTCAATGCCTACCATTCAGGTAGCACACAGCACATATGGAAAGAATAAAGGAAGGAATTTCTCCAAGGTCACACAGCTATTCAGTAACAGAGTTGGGCTAAAGGGATTCTCCCACCTCAGTCTCCCAAAGTGTTGGGATTACAAACGTGAGCCAGCGTACCTGGCCATATTAGTGCTTTTTATAGTGTGTTACTTAGAGCCCTTGAGTCCCTCACCTGGAGTGCCACTGAGCAAGCTGAGGAATATTGGCCAGTGGCTGAGTTGGCAGGCTTCTTTGTATCCTCTTCAAATACATCAGTCCTTTTAGAAATTATGGGCCTCTCTAAAACTTGTTTTGGAAAAAGAATTATGCTACTACAAAAATTTTAAATACCATTATACTTTCATGATTGCTAAGTACCCTAAACTAGGATTTTTAAAAATCTCCTATGCACAACAGTTTAATGTGATAAAGTGTTTACATACAAAACACAGTAAACAACTCGTTTTTACTATTCCTTTTTCTTTCTTTCTTTCTTGAGACAGTCTTGCTCTGTCACCCAGGCTGGAGTACAGTGGTGCCATCTCAGCTCACTGCAGCCTCCACCTCCCGGGTTCAAGCAATTCTCCTGTCTTAGTATCCTGAGTAGCTGGCATCACAGGCGCCTGCCACCATGCCCAGCTAATTTTTGTATTTTTAGTAGAGACAGGGTTTTGTCATGTTGGTAAGGCTGGTCTCGAACTCCTGACCTCAGGTGATCTGCTCAACTTGGCCTTCCAAAGTGCTGGGATTACAGGCGTTGAGCCACCACGCCCGGCCATTATTCTTTTTTTTCTAACCACTTTTTAATGTTGGTATCCTTTCAAAATAAGATGAAATGCAATGCTTAAAATGACAATTCTAATATATAATAGGCTCTCTAAAAGTAATTGGGATTCCCCCATAAAGACTGTCATTTTGGCTGGGCAAAGTGAATCATGTCTGTAATCCCAGCACTTTGGGATGGTGAAGCAGGTGGATTACTTGACCTCAGGAGTTTGAGACCAGCCTGGCAAGACAGTGAAACCCCACCTCTACAAAAAAAAATATGAAAATTAACCAAGTGTGGTGGCTTGCACCTGTATTCCCAGCTACTTGAGGGGGCTGAGGGGAGAAGATCACTTGAGTCCAGGAGGCAGAGTTTGCAGTGAGCCGAGATCGTGCCACTGTACTCCAGTCTGGGTGACAGAGTGAGACCGTCTCAAAAAAAAAAGACTAATTTTGAAAGCCATAGAAAATGGCTTACAAAGTTTAGGACCAAATTAAGATTCTGCTTATTTTTTGCCTCTTAAGGAACAGTAAAGACATGTTTTAATCCAAGCAAGTGAGGAGAAGCAAATTATCATTACTCTCACAATTACTAAATTTCTAAGTCTCATCCACAAGTACTTTCTTTTTCTTTTTTATATTCCCTGCCAAGACTGACCCTGAAAGGTCAGTTGCTAGAGGTGCTAGACAAACCAAATAGGTAATTCGCCAAAGCCTCACTTCCTTCTTACTTTATAAAGCAGGGGTTGCCAGGGAAGGTTTGTTAGAATCACCTGGGAAGCTTTTTCAACCTACACGTGTGCCACAGTTTCCTCTCTCTCTTAGGAAGCACCGTTCTAGTTTGGGGCTTCAATCTGTCCCACATTAAAGGTCTTCATCTTTGTAAATCCTACCCAACTAAAGGTTAATGGGGTAGAAACAATTGAACTCGGAAGTCACTGACTTTGTCACAAAGGGCTGGGCAAGTCCCTTAACCTTTCTGGTCTCAGGTTTTCCTCTGATTTTGGGGGTTCCCTTTAAACTTTGAAATTCTTCTATATGACTGCATGTCACGTCTAAGAAGCCTTCTGAACTACTCCTAGCATGGAACGACTTGCCCTTTCGTGGTTTTCCAACAGCCTGTGCAATACAGCATATTACCTATTTTATACTGTCCTATATTGCCCTCTAGTTGTTTTTTATGAAACTTTTTTCTTCTCAACTATATGTAGTTTAAAATACTACTTTAAAAGTTTATTTTCAGGGGCAGACAGAGTGTGCCTGCTACTTAAATCTCCTAGGACAATTCAGGCTGCGTCCTAAGGTCATCAATATGTATTTATATTGCTTTGTTCAAAACTGAACAAAGCAATATAAATTCAACAAAACTCCCTTCTTTGAAGTCCTGGAATTATATTTTCATCAGTTCTCTCCAGTAGAAATATAATGTGAGCTACAAATATAGTTTTAAATTATCTGGTAGGCACATTTACAAAGTGAAAAGAAACAAGTACAATTAATTCTAATAATATATTTAATCCAATATATCCAAAAGACTATCATTTCAACATGTAGTCCATGTAAAAAGTATTGACATTTTTCACATTTTTTAAAATGTCTTTGAAATATGGGGTGTATTTTACACTTGCAGCACATCTCTATTCAAATAGCCACTTTCAAGTGGTTAGTAGCCTCATGTAGCTAGTAACGACCTACTGAACAATGCAGTTCTGCATAACTGGACTGTCTTAAAAACGGACCACTTTTTTTTTTATTAAGATAAAGAATGATACTGAGTACTCAGGCTAGCCACAGGGGTGTAAAGATGAATCAAATTAATTATGATGAGAGAATTGTAAATCACTAGCAATTACACAGTGTGGTAGGTGCCATGATACAGATGCAGAGAAGAAACCCTGACTTGGCGGCTGAAATGCACAGGGTGGAAGGCGGTGGGGAGACAAGAAAGGTTGCACCGAAATAACATTTGACTTAGGAACTAAGTGCACTAAGGGAAGCAGGCTGTGGGGTGACCGGAGTTGCCAGTTACCAATCTTGCTTACTGAAAGGGGCTCCAAAGGACGCTGGCCTACGGGTTGTAGGCGTGTGTGGGGTGAAGGAGTAAGAGGACGGGAGATGATTGGTTGGGAGGAACCCGGAGCTCCATCTGGTGGGTGGACGGAAGCCGCAGGGGGGCGCTACTCGCACTTCTCGCTCAAGCGACCGGCTCTTAAAACCGTGGGAGCGGCGCGGCGGCTAGAGCCCCTGGACTCAACCTAGAGAGCCCCTCGCGAGGTAAGGCGCGCGCCTGACAGGCTCATAAAACGCACTCGCTCGCCTGCAGTCCTCACGCTCCAAATTCTGCCTCGCTACACCCGGGCTTCAGAGCCCTCAGAACTTCGCAGTTCCCTGTCGGCGACGAGGAGCATCTGGTAAAATAGCGCCTAGGGTTTTGCTTGTTTGTTTTCAACAGCTACCTACGACTTGTAACGGGCTGCGTGATAAAATGAGTCTATGGAAACGGTTGCCAGGGCCGGCGAACTGCGGCTCCAGGAAGTCCTTTGACGCTTTCGTAACAATGAAGCTATTGAACCAATGAGGTGCCTCTTCCGGTTTTGTCCGCGCTCGCGCAGTACTTCTTCATCAAGGTTGCCTTTAACCCCGGAATTAAGATCTTCCGGGCCTCTCCCTCCTCAAGATGGCCGCTGAAGACGAGTTACTGCTGCCGCGGCTCCCAGAGCTATTCGAAAGCAGCAAACAGCTGCTAGATGAAGTAGAAGTAGCGACTGAACCCGCCGGTTCCCGGATAGTCCAGGAGAAGGTGTTCAAGGGCCTGGACCTCCTTGAGAAGGCTGCCGAAATGTTAAAGCAGCTCGACTTGTTCAGGTATGGGGGAGATAGTAATAATGGTAACCAAGGGTGGAGCCATTGCACCTGAGTGGAGGGAACCTTTAGCAGTGAGAACCTTTCGTTCCTACTTCCCACTGTTATCTTGTGTACACGGTTTACATTCCCTACCTCTCTTCCCAGATGGTTGATATCCCACGACTCTGCTCCCTAGTGTCTGCTGATTGCATAGGCATTGGGTGGAGCGCTCAGCCACGTTCGAGTGAAACTCGCCGCTGTTCCCGGTGCCTCCTCCGTCTGCTCCACTTTGAGCCCAGCGTCCCCTTCTGTCCCCCAGGAAGCAGGCCACAATTTGAATGCCCAGCCAGGCTTCACTGCCTCCTTTTTGCTCTTCCAGCCGAAATGAAGATTTGGAAGAGATTGCTTCCACCGACCTGAAGTATCTGTTGGTGCCAGCGTTTCAAGGAGCCCTCACCATGAAACAGGTCAACCCCAGCAAGCGTCTAGATCATTTGCAGCAGGCTCGAGAACACTTTATAAACTACTTAACTGAATGCCGTTGCCATCATGTGGCAGAGTTTGAGCTGCCCAAAACCAAGGACAACTCAGCTGAAAATCACACTGCTAATTCCTCCATGGCTTATCCTAGCCTCGTTGCTATGGCATCTCAAAGACAGGCTAAAATAGAGAGGTGGGTCAATAGCTATAATTTGAGGCTGCCCAGTGGAAGTGCTTTTTGGGGGCATGCTTTCTTGGTGGGTGGTGGAGGGCCAGAATGGTGTGTGTCACTTTCTTGGTTCTTATTGAGCATAGGCCCTGGGGAGAGCAAACTGAGTTTTTCAAGAAGCCTCTGTTTTTGTTGAGATCATATCTGTCAGACCCCTACTACGTTATGGGTTGCCAACAGCAGCAGTGTAGTTTAGCAAACTGTCTCCCAACCGTTTCCACATCAGACCATAGCAATGTTCATATGGTACAGTGAGGTAGATGTCTCTGAAGTGCACAGTATCTCAAAGCTAGGCCATTTTGTGGTCCATTGATTGAGGAGCTCTGTTCAGACTACTGGAGCAGATGTGTAACATCCCGAACTGATCTAAGTCCTGGCACAGCTTCATCATGTGACCTTGGAAAAGTTGCTTACTTTCTTAGTGTTGTTGTTGTTGTTAGAACATTTAATGGATGGTCATAGTGTCTAGGAACTATGCTAGGCACTGGGGATAGAAACTGCATAGGTATTTGTGTGAGTATGAGTGGTCCCTGCCTTGGAGGAGCATACAATCTGGTGAGGAAAACAGGCATAGAAACAGAATGTCAATAAAAAGTGATGTTATGGAGGGATGCACAAGGTACTATGAGAGCAGACAGGAGGGGCACCTAACCAAAAGGAGCAGGAGAGAGGAGAAGGCCCCCTGGAAGAGGTGACTCCTGAGTTCTTTAAACGTAAATAGGAATTTCCAGAGGAAGAAGAGAGGAGGGCATTAGCCAGCAGAGGTAACAGTTGTAGTAAAGCCACAGAGGCATTAAAGAAACATTGGCGGGTGGAGATGTGTAGGACAAAAACAGCAGCTATAAGCAATTAGGTGATGGTAGAACACAAAGAGGGTGGTGGTAAGAGGGAAGGAATGATAATGAAGAATGTTGTAGGGTCCACACCAAGGAGAGCCTGGGCTGTGAGGAACATGAAGGATCAACTTGTTGCTGAGAACTTGGTAAGGTGTTTGAATCCCAACTCGAACAATGTGATTAATCAGTGTGATTTTTGGCAAGTTATTTAATCTTTCAGTACCTTAATTTCTCCAGCTGCAAAATTCAGATAATAATAGGTCCTTCCTTACAGTTTATGAGGATTAAAAGAGAAATACCATATAAAGCCCTTAGCACAATGTTTGACACAATAAGCACTCAAAATCAACTATTATTATTTGTGGCTAAGAGTATGGGTCGTAGAGTCAGAGACCTGGGTTTGGGACCCAGCTTTGCTTATAATCTGTTGGACTTTGGGGAAGGTATTTAACCTAACTGAACCTCAGCTTTCCTCATATGTGAAATCTAAATAATAATGGTACAGACGGTCCCTGACTTATGACAGCTTGACTTAGAATTTTTTTTACTATATTGGTGCAGAAGCAATACACGGGAATATCAATAAATTACATGAGTTATTCAACACTTTATTATAAAATAGGTCTTGTGTTAGATGATTTGCCCAACTGTAGGCTAATATATTCTGAGCATGTTGCAGGTAAACTAGGCTAAGCTATGATGTTCAATAAAGTGTATTAAATGCATTTTCAACTTAGCATATTTTCAATTTATGGATATAGCCCCATGGTAAGTTGAGACCCATGTGTACCTATCTCAAGGTTAATAAGCACAAATGGGAAAAAGCGCATAAAACAGCACAATATCTGGCACATAGTGAGTATTCTATAAATGTCAGGTGCTATTGGGTAGGCCATGCTAAAGAGCTTACTTTGATTTGTGACTGAGATTCACTGAAGAGTTCTGTTTCTCTTTCTCTTTTTTTTTTTTTGAGATGGAGTTTCACTCTTGTCACCCAGGCTGGAATGCAATGGTGCGATGTCGGCTTACTGCAACCTCTACCTCCTGGGTTCAAGCAATTCTACTGCCTCAGCCTCCCCAGTAGGTGGGATTACCGGAGCCCAACACCACGCCTGGCTAATTTTTGTATTTTTAATGGAGGTGGGGTTTTGCTATGTTGGCCAGCTGGTCTCGAACTCCTGACCTCAGGTGATCCTCCCGCTTTGGCCTCCCAAAGTGCTGGGATTACAGGCGTGAGCCACTGCGCTCCGCTGTTTTTTTTAAATAGTAGCATGATCATATTTGCATCTTAACTAGCACAGTCTAACAGTAGTTAGGAAACAATGAGGGAAAAGATTAGACCCAGCTAAGTCATAAAGGAGACCAGGGTTTACTATGGCAGTGACAGAGGGATGGGGGAGTGTATTTAGATATGAATCTACAGGAAACCTGGTGATCAATTGGTTATGCGAGGTGGGATAAAAGGAAGCAGCAAGGAAAGATGTCCATGTTTCTAATTCAGATGAATGGCTGTGAAATTTACTAAGATGGGAAAAGAGGAAGAAGAGAAGATGGGGGAAGGGGAGAGTATGAATTTAGTATTGAAACATGTTGAGTTTAAGGTGCCTAGAGGCCAGGTGCAGTGACTCATGCCCGTAAGCCCAGCACTTTGGAAAGCCTAGACAGGTGGATCACAAGGTCAGGAGATCGAGACCATCCTGGCTAACATGGTGAAATCCTGTCTCTACTAAAAATACAAAAAGATTGGCCAGGTATGGTGGCATGTGCCTGTAGTCCAGTTACTTAGGAGGCTGAAGCTGGGGAATCACTTAAACCTGGGAGGCGGAGGTTACAGTGAGCTGAGATTACACCATTGCACTCCAGCATGGGCAACAGAGTGATACTCCATCTCAGAAAACAAAGAAGAAAAAAAAGGTGCCTAGGAGATAAGTAGAGATATCTGTTAGTCTGAAGCTCGAGAGACTTGGTCTAGAGAGCTAAAGATGATTCATTTATTTAAAAATATTTATTAATCCCTTCCTGTGTGCCAGGAGCTGTTCTAGGTGTTAGAAAACCAGATAAAGTCAATGCTGTTACAGAGCTTTTATTCTGGTGGTGGAAAACAAACAGTAAGCTAGTAAATAATAATGTGATTTCAGCTGGTAAGGGCCATGAACAATGATAAGTTAGGGGATAGTGAGTGACTGAAGATATGGACTAGATTGATAAGAAATGGAATTTAACATCCTTACCTTTGTAAGAAGTTGGGGGCAGCCTGTCAGCAGATAATAGGTAGTTTAAACAGTGAGTTTGGTATGCAAATAATTATACAAAAAAAACTGCAAGAGAAAGATGGAGTGGTCACATCTGGTTGAAGGGATGAAGAAAAGGTTTCAGAACATAATGACATTTGATACCAGGCATGGTGGCTCACGCCTGTAATCCCAGCACTTTGGGAGTCCAAGGCAGGTGGATCACTTTAAGTCAGGAGTTCAAGACCAGCCTGGTCAACATGGCAAAATCCTGTCTCTGCAAAAAAAAAAAAAAAAATTAACCAGGAGTGGTGATGCACACCTGTAATCCCAGGTACTCAGGAGGCTAAGGCAGGACAGTCCCTTGAGCCTGAGAGGTGGAGGCTGCAGTGAGCCAACATCGGGCCACTGCACTCCAGCCTGGGTAATAGAATGAGACTCTGTCTCAAAAAAATAAGAACATAAATGGCATTTGAGATGAGTCTTAAAGGATGGTTAAAAATAGAAATTAGGCTGGGCGCGGTGGCCCATGCCTGGTAATCCCAACACTTTGGGAGGTCAAGGCAAGAGGATTACTTGAGTCCAGGAGTTTGAGACCAGTCTGGGCAACAAAGTGAAACTCTGTCTTTACCCCCCAACCCCCCAAAAAAATAGCCAGGTGTGGTGGCACAGGCCTGTAGTCCTAGCTACTCCAGAGGCTGAGCTGGGAGGATCACTTGCGCCCCTGTAAGTTGAGGCTGCAGTGAGCTGTGATCCAGCCTAGGTGCCTGTCTCAAAAAAAAAAGATTTTCCTGAATGTAAAATTAATAATGCTCATTGTAGAAAGTTTGCAAAACAGAAGAATATTTTTAAATTTAAAAATAAGCCTCGATCCTAGTACTCATAGATGATCATTAACTTTCTGATGTGTTTCCTTTCAGATATATAGTTATTTGAACTAATAAATTTGGAATGCTGTAAATAGAGCTTTTTATCCTGTTTTTTTAACCTAAAATTATTCTGTGAGCATTTCCTCATGTCTTTTGAAACCATGATAGTGAATGGTCATGAATGTTTCATGCTACAGTTATGCCATAATTATTTAAACTAATCTGTTATTATCAAATATTTAGACTATGGTTTTTTGCTAGTCTGAGTAATGCTATAAACAAGTGTGTTTAAATGCATCTGTCACCATTTCCTTATGGTAGATTTCTAGAACCAGTGACTGGGTCAAAGTGTTTGAATATGTTGAGGCTCTTGATATATGGTAAAAGTGTTACTTTCTACAATAACAGAGTTTCAGAATATGTCCCACTGCACTTGTCTTGGATGTTAACATTTAGAAAATCCAATTGGGTGGCTGGGCACAGTGGCTCACACCTGTAATCCCAGCACTCTGGGAGGCTGAGGTGGGTGAATCACCTGAGATCAGGAGTTTGAGACCAGCCTGGCCAAGATGGTGAAACCCCGTCTCTACTAAAAATACAAAAATTAGCTGGGCATGGTGGTGGGTGCCTGTAATCTCAGCTACTTGGGAGGCTGAGGCAGGAGAATTGCTGGAACCCCAGAAGCGAGGTTGCAGTGACCCGAGATGGCGCCATTGCTCTCTAGCCTGGACCCACAACAGCAAAACTCCCTCTCAAAAAAAAAAAAGAAGAAAGAAAATCCAATTTGGCAAACAAAAAGTATCTATTGTTTTGATTTGCATTTCATTGGCCACTTTGAACATTTTTCTTAAATGCCTGACAGATATCATCATATGTTGAACCCTTGGCTTTTTAACCCCAAATGTGCCTCCACACCCATCTCAGTAAGTGTGGTTTTTACTTAGGTTTTTAAGCCAGTAACCTAGGATAATCCGTAATTGTCTTCCCTCCCAGATACCATCTCGTTGACTTAGGTTTTTAAGCCAGAA